GCTGACGGGCGCGTGAGGTGGAAGTTCGGGTCCATTACCACCGGCACGTACCATTTGCATGTGAGATGTCCGGCGTCTATTACATTCGGAAGCAGAAGCACTGGGATCATCATCAGCGAGAACGTCGTTAAGTACCAGATGGCGACGAGGTGTAGTGTCAGTGTGTGAAGAAGTTGACGGTAACCCCGTTCAATATTGTTTGTCTACCTCTGTTTTTCTCCGTTTCACGCCGTTAGTATTATATATATATATATATATATATTATCAAGGGGAGGAATTGTGTATTTTGCTATAGAATAAGAGGAGAAAATGAAAAGGAGACAAATAGCAAAATTGCGGTCTGTAAGAAAAATTAATGTCATTAAATTTCAACAAATAGGATTTCTTAGTCAAAATTGCGGTGCAATATGTATGTGGGTTCCTTCATTTATTTAGAAATTAATAACAACTTTTTATCAGTAGCTGCTTCCCTTTTTGTTTTTTTTTTGCTTCATTTTAATATTATTTTTCATTTTATGGGCTGAGAAAGAGAAATTCAAGTGCTTATTTGAAAAGTCCACATTAGAGGTATCCAAAGTTAATTAAGAAATAATATCTTGAAAACTTATGTATCGATCTTATCTTGAGATGTAATACTGAAGAGTCATTTGAATTCAACCTTTCAATGTCAATGTGAATATGGAGTTTCAAAATATAACATTTGAGAAAACAGGGATTTATCAATAATGAGACTTTAAAAAGTTTGGAAGCCATTTAATGGTGTTAATTTTTGTCTTTATTTTTATTTCAGAACTAATTACATATACCAATCATCAATATATGAGAAAAATATCTGATAATAAAAGAAAATAAAATAAAAAATAAGAAACAGCAACCTTAATCAATTGGAATCCTCCCATCTCAGCTGTTAAAAAATAAAAAATAAAAAATAAAAAATAAAAAACTTAAAAATTGTTGGATCCTAAATTAAATTCAAAGAGATAAAAACATGATAAGATTGTTTTTCGGTTCAAGTCATTGTCTCAAATTATTTTGCGTTTTTCAATTTGGGTTCTGGTACATAAAGTTAATATAAGGCAGGGAATTAGGAGAATATTACATGTAGAACCAAGAGCAAAATGCCAAAATTTTCATTTGAATGATTTGGATACAAATGTCACTCTAAAAATACACAATACCTAACACATTAACATGTAGAGACGGCAGCTAGCGAAAGTCAGTCAATTAATGAGACGAAACTGTGTTTCTAAGGAATGACCCACCAAATGTGGTTGATTTCTCTGCCTTTCTAAGAAGGAAAAGAAAAATGTCGGCCAAAAACGAAGGAGAGGGGAAATGATGCTACAATACCGAGCTACCTTTGTACTATTTTAATTATACCGGAAAATTTTACTTTTTAATTAGTTGAAATAGAGAAGTACTAATTGTGTCTGCTTACCCTTTTTTTGAACTCTTCAATTCATGTAGAGGTTAAAGTTTAGATCACAGGATTTTTTTGAATTAATTGTCTATACTTATAGTCGATGTCAATGATTGATAGGTTGTTATTGTTGTTTATGATTTAAAAATTTGGATTCATCTCATTAAGGATTAACAACTATTACTAGGAGATTGTAATATTAGTCACTAATATTCAATGATGATGTATTACCTATAATCTATAGTTAAAAATATTTTTAGTTACAAAATAAATATCGACCAATTATCTAACTAAAATTACTTTTTAACTGAAATTCAGCAAACGTATATTACTTGGAGGATTAACTTTCGTATATAAGTAAATGATTGGTCAATTTTGACATGGAAGGTTCCTTTTCAATGACGCAATCAATGAGGTAGTGCAATTTAAAATTATTTTTGACAAACAAATATGTAATTAGACAGAGAAAAATAACTCAAACTTTTCTTGAAACTAATAATTTTTATGTCAAAATTGTGAATTGCATATTTTATTATCATCGATGAGAAACAGAAGACAATTCACGCAAGGCAGACGACTATAGTCATAATACATGTAATCTGCATAAGGTAGACGACAAAACCGCAAACTGTTCCTATATTTACAAACTTTTAATAAGTTAGGAATCCAAGTTACAAATGTCCTACCTATTACAATTTGCAACACTTTTTGAAGAACTTTTATTGGAACTACATTTTTTACCAACCAAACAAGCTCCAATAAGGGCTACAAGTAGTAGACTATAAATAATGTGGAAGGAAATATGATGGCAGCAATATGAAATTTTTATTTGGGGGAAGGGTCTGTGTCGGATGATGTTGGGTTTGGGGTGGGTTTCATCCATCTCTCATGTTAGTGATCTCCACATGATCAAAGTGGTGGTCCTTTTCACCCGACAACAGCTCTTTACCTAATAATCCTGGCGTGATGTCGACCTACTCCCTCAACTTAATGGTCCTTATAATCTGCCTCTTAATTTAATCGTATTCTTAGCCCACCCAACACTTGTATCATCCATTCCCCAGTGTTTCAACATATATCTCACTGGACCGTCCGCCAATAAACATTTCTTACTGTGTCACTATGTGCTTTTTTTTTTATCAATCATATATATCCATTGTTTAAAATGGAAAAAAAACTTGGTGTGTACGGAAAACAAATAAAAAATTTGACTAAATTTATATTCATTAATTTGATTTTTGGTGAAGATTGGAAGTTCTGTATATATACA